TTTCTTACATTAGATCTCTTTAAACTATGAGATCTAATGTGCAGTTGTCAGCTGATTTGCATTGTGAGTGTGTGTATCTAAAACCAGAGGCTAGATATTTAGTCCACAAACCTGGGAAGAAAAGTCCGTATGGGGAAAGGCTTTTGGATAACACTGTCTGGGGCTTTCTTGGCAGACTTTTGCACACACACTGCAGTGGTAAGAGCTGCCCTCAGCCCCAGCTGTATTGCTGCCCTAACATCAACCTGCTGACTGCCAGGAATGCATTTCTTTTCCAGCTGGATAACTGGTATTGCCCTACTAATTGGGTCCTTTCCACAGATATTTTTAAACAACTTCACAAAATCCCAGCAAATCAACTGATACTTCTCAGAAGCATTTTGTTATGAAATTGTTAGCAATTTGATGCAAGTCTTTAAAACTCAATTAAAAGCAAACAGCGTGTTCCTTGAAGCCAGAAGTCAGGCTGCTTTGCAAGGCTGTTACTCTGAACACAATAGGATTCATGCCCGTAACCTGCTCTCTGTTCATCAGTTGCTAGTACAGATGAAATTTTCTGCTCAAAACAGAAATAATTAATAGTTTTGTTTGATGCTGGTAGATATGTATCTCTGCTGGGTTTATGAGCTATGTTTTTAAAGCTGCCTGACTACTTTATCATTCAAATTGTTTAAAACAATAGTAATGGATATTTGTCTCTCTTCACTGGTTTAAAAGCCAGACGTTGCTAACGTTGTCGGTTTCATTGACTATGACTTGACATACTCATTCACTTCTGAGACCAACAAATCTACGGAGAATTCCCTACAGATTATTGAGAGATGATGTGAATAATGTTAAGTGTGTCCCCAAAGACTTTCAGGATGGATATGCATAATCAAGCATGCAGTTCTCAATACTGATTCTAATTACTTTTTTTTTTCCCCATTAAATCACTAAGGTTCCCCAACCAGAGATGTGGGGCCTTCATTAGGTCTGAAGAAATCCAGCTCATTAGAAAGTCTGCAGACAGCCGTTGCTGAGGTGACTCTGAATGGTGATATTCCCTTCCACCGCCCGCGCCCACGAATTATCCGAGGACGAGGCTGCAATGAAAGCTTCAGAGCTGCCATAGACAAATCATATGATAAACCTGTAGCAGATGATGATGATGAAGGCATGGAAACTTGTAAGTAAACTATTGCTGTACATAATGTTAACAACATAAGTTAGTTCCTTTAGAAAGTGACTAAAAGCAGTAGAAGATAATTTTGGGATTTTAAAAGAACAGAACTAACTTCTTTTAACCAATTTTTTTTTAGGCTTTTTCCTTTCATATGCATTAACAGATTGCAAAACTCTCTAGCTTCCTTCCTTTCTAAAATAAGAAAATAAGATTATTAGGAGCGTGTTTACTTAAATTACTATGAAAATTTTCTGTAAGACAGATAATTAATTTACTAATGTAAATTAGGAAAAAAATATGCAGAAAGAGAAAAAAACAACTGAATTTATGTTACAAAAATATGTGCATCTAACTTTGCAAGAATACATTTGTAGTGTCTGAGGGGAAAAAAAGAAATCACTGTCCTTTAATTAGAGTGAGTGAGGCTGGCGGATCTAATAAAATATAAAGTTAATGATCAGCTATTACCCACCCTAATGGGCATTCATTTACATTTTCAGTTCTTTAACCCGAAGTATGACCCAACATGTGGAGAATGTCATTAACATAAAAGAATCACTTCAAAGCTAACCTTATCATTATTGAACTATGTACGAATGGGCTGGTAAAATGACAACTTGTATTGAATGAAAATAGTATGAATGGTAAATTACCTCAATCAGGGGTTGTATTAAAATCATTGAATTTTTAACCTTCATGTTGTACTATTTTCAACTTGTCACACACCAGCAGAAATTTTTTTAATCAACCTGCAACTAGTTAGAAGTTTGTGAATGAAGATGATGGTGGGAAGGTTGAAGTAGTAAAATATTTAGCCTGAATGCTAACAGAAATGGCTTGAAAAGAGATTTTTCACTCTCTGCTCTTTTTAAAATTTTTATAGTTTCAGAAAGTCTGTTTCATAAGCGTCATTCCCTAATATTCTTTTGTAAGCTACTTGTGTAATCACTCTTTTATTTTTTTAAAACCCTACCTTTTTTTCCTTTTTTTTTTTTTTTTTTTAAAAAAATCTGCCTTTTTCTAAAACCATTCAGTGACTGAAAGGGAGGTCATTTTGCCAGTCAATTTTCTCAAAGGTAGTTACGGATGGAATTAATTCTGCTTTGCTTTTCCAGCACCTAGCAATTTCACGCAGCAGTGAGGCTAAATGCTGGTCTGGTGCTGCTGGCTGTCAATCTATTTCTGGCCAGTAGAAGAATAGGTATGAGAAAATGTGTAGTGATCCTGCTCATTCTTCCAAACTGCATACCCATGGTCTTTTGGGACATGAGACCATGTTTTTCTAAATAGCCTTGTTTGGTGTTAGCCCACTGATAGTAATATCCTGTTTTGAGGCATCAGATACCCAAGGCTTATCCAGAAGTTACAGGTGGTTTAACTTCATTTGATCAAAAATATAGCAAAACTGTTGTCATGAAACGCTTTCTAGGTGCGCACAGGTTTATGAGATTACTGTAAGGGGTTTTGAGTTTGTGGATGCAATGCTTAGAGAGTAGCAAAGAAGTATTTGGTGGCTCTTGTATCCTTTGCATGGGAGTGGTGGAAACCAGATAAAGCCTTGTGGCTGAAATCAAAATACCATGGAGTGAGTCTTTGCCTTCATCTCTCTATATGGATGAAGTCATCTCGCACTGGTGGACCAAGAGCCGTCTCTGTCTCATGGGAGAGCAAGGGCGAGTCTGTTCTCAAATCTCACTTGATAAAGAAGGGCTGAGCAAAGTGTGACCAAACTATGTGTGTAGAATTACGTAATCTGTTGAGTTACTTGTGATTTAATAGCTTCCGCATATTATAATAAAACGACTGACGAGTGATCCGGGAATTTGGAGTGCCAGGTTAATAGAAGGAGATAGTAGCAGAGCAAATGTAGTTAAATTGGTTGGACAGAATTCAGTCCTCGAGATCAACTTCTCACGGTGGCCTTGGGAGCTTAAGCGCTGGCCCAGCCATATGTTGCCTGTCTTTCTGAAAACCTGTCTGTATCTGTGTTAAAACTGAAAGCATTGCAGTCTGATCCACGTTGTGTAAATTATACGTGGTCTTAGATTCCAGAGAATTTATCAAATTGTGTCTTCAGCTGGACAAAGCCTGGGCACATACAAATATGCAGAAGTTAATTTAACAATCTGGTCCTAATGTAACTAATGCCTCACTGCTGCCATAACAACATTGCCTAAGTTTTTTAAAATTGTATTTAATTATTCCATAATTACTTGAAATTAAAATGTGTCTTTCTCTCATTGTAAAACCCAGGCAAACATATTGGTGGTCAATTTGCTGATACCCTTGAGGTTGGATCTATTTGTCTTACTTAATTTTTTTCCCCTTTCTCCTCCAAGTGTTGGGTGCTGCTTTCTTCCAGACAGTGGTCCTCTTTGGAGTAGCAAGTAATAGCAGTGCAGAAAATTGTATTGAGGAATTCGTAGCATGTCATGACCCCATATAGAAAAGCCGTAAAAATACAGGTAGCATATGTGGCAAAGGGGCTGACTCTTCTGAATGTACTTGCTGTCCTTGGAACAATGTGATATTAAATTACTAAATGTAGGATGAAAATCAGATAGCAATGACCAGTTCTGGGGTAGCATTTTAAAAAGTATTTGAGAAGATGCGTGCAAGTTTTAATGGCTGTAAACTAGTAACATTTGTGGAAAGGTGTGGGTGTTCAGCTTTTGCAGGTCATTTTTCCTGCCTTTTTTTTTTTTTTTTTTTTTTTTCCTTCCGTTCCCCTTAATACTTGAAATAGCTGTCTGGAAGCAAAATGTTTGTCTTTAGTGTCTTGAATGAGAACAAGACATTTGGATTGGGAGAGATCGACAAAGCTTTCTAATCTGTTGCTGAATCTTAATTGCTAGAATCTAGGGCTGTATTAAATATCACAATAAGAGGCCTAGAAGCTTAGTGGCAAAATAGCTTCACATTAAGTAGCTTTGATTCCTCATGTGCATCTTTTCCATTTTATGGCCTAATTAGGAGAATAGCTTCATAATACCTGTTTGTGTAGTTCTCCATAGTACAGTGTGGTTCATGAAATGACACTCGTTCTCAGGTTTAATTGATGTTTAAAGTATACTCCAATTTAATTTTTTGGCTTCAGCATGCCAAATGGGGAGGCAGGAGGTTGCAGGAAAGGAAGGAAATAACTGCACCAAAACAAATACATTCTGTGTTTTGCAGTAACCTGATGTCATTACTGCAACTTAAGAAAAATTAGAAGTTTCATTTGTAGCCTGAGCATGAATTTTAATTGAGCAGCATTTGCATTTGTTCTAAACACTAGTAATTAGGTGTATGTTAATTGCAGAATGACTGTGATGCATAAAAGTGAAACAAGTTTCTTCATGTTGAGTCCTTTTAAGAAAATTGGAAATCTATTTACTGCACTAGAGACACCAGTGTTTGCCACAGGAGAACAGGCACACTAGTTCACAGGGCTCAGTCTAAGTTACAGAGTTAATTGCAAGCAAATTGTGTATGATAGACAAATATTTATTGCAGCACAAGTGTGGAAAGGAGGTGATATTGTGTCCATAGAATATGCAAAATAAATAATATGAGGAAGCGTTGTTATGACAAGTTGTTCAGCAGCTCAGCATGGCACAGTACACTTAATACATATTTAGGATTAATTTAATGTATTGTTATAGGAATATGAACAACAACAGGTCAAAATTGATTCATCTTTAGAATTCAAGCCATGAAACATTTGACTTCAAAATTTCTCAGCAATTTAATGCATTTTTTTTAGTAATTATACTCGTTTGCAAGTACAGTCTTTTACGTGTCTACTTGGTTTTAACTGGAACAGATTGTAACTATAAATTAACATGCAAAAAAATTAGCATCTCTATTCCAAAGTGGTTTTCCACTACTCTTTTAATAATAACTAAATATCATCCCAGACACTGATTTAGAAACACTGTGAACAGAAAAAGTACAAGTACAGCTAGTACAGAGGCATGTACAGGACGGGCCTATTAGTTTTGTAAACTACAATTATCTGAATATTAAAACTGTGCCTATAGTTGAGAAGGTGTATCATCTGCTTAACTCACAGTGGTCCTGAAGACAAGTTGACATGAAATGCGAAGACCTGTCCTTTTTTTTTTTTTTTCTTTTCCTGGTGGTTTGTACTTCAGAGTACTAGTTGAGATTCAAAAATAGTTACTAATGTTGAGATTTTTCTGACATGGTATGTTTTTTCTTGAAATACGTTTATGTTATCTTCCAAGGTTGGAGCATATTTATAGAAATCGTGGGATACTCAGTGAATAAGTACTAAGTCTATTGGACAGGTCTGTGTATTGTAATATTAATGAATAAATAGTATTTTGCAGGCAAGTATCTGAGAGGGAAGAGATGATATCGAATGGCTTTCAGTCAGTGATTTGTAGACTTTTCAGGTTCAGTGAATTGCTTGTAAGGTGAATATGAATGATGACTAAGAAATGCAAGTCTATATTCTGCAGTTGTCTATGTATGAGAAGTTTCTCAAGAATTACACACTTCTGTTGGCTGGAGAAGAGTCACTGAGGTCTAGAAACAGTAATACTAGCAGGAATAATAATAAGACATAGTAAACAGGCTAAACTGAAAAAAATCTTATTGAATGCAAAAAACCCCTTGTTTTCCATAGACTGTGTGTATATCAAGCAAAACTGTATTTTTCAACTTCTACTGCCTTTTTTTTTTTTTTTTTTGGAGCCTTTGTATTCATTAGAGCTACAGGAGACAGTGCAAAGTATGCATCTGTGATTCTAATTGCTGCTTTGTGCTGTCTGTTGGAAAATTGGGAGATGGTGTAGCCTTGCTTACGAATGTGATGATATAAAAAAGTTAGAGTTCCTGGAAGGTCACAGCTTCACCAGCCGTGGAGTGTAATTTTTGGACTTGGCTTTAAGTTAAGTCAAAATGGTTGCAGGATTCTGACCTATGAGCTTGAAGTGTTTCATTTCTTTCTCGCTAAGCTACTGGAGGAGTTTTCAGTTTTTGAATGGATTGTTTCTTTTGGTCATTTTTCTTTCAAAGTTTCTGAAATACATGTGCTCTGTTAAGTCTAACCTTGGGTATACTTTAGGATTCTTGGAGCCTTCATTAGAAACAGAGAAGGAAGGTGTTATCTGCCCTTAAAGGATTTTATTTGTTTCGCTGGATGGAATCTCCCCACTCGAACCTCCCAGGCTGCCCCATCTCAGCCAAAAATAAAAGCGAGAATGAAAATCATGGTGCATGATATGTTTTAAACTGCTCTGGGAAATGAAGTAGTGTGACAAAACCATTATGGTACTTGCAGCAGAAGAAAAAGTCTATTAAGGCTTGTATTGAGGGCAAACAGTCCTTAGTGACTTTCATATTTTTATGAGAGTATTACTAAGAATTTACTGACAGGGCATGCTGCACTGCTGTTATTTCTTGCGATATTTCTAAAGCTCTCCTCAATTGATTCAAATATTGAATTAAAATAGGCCAATTAACTTCACTTTGCTAATCCTCTATATTAATCTATACATTATTCAGGGTACCCACAAAGCACAAATTGTGTTTTGCAGTGTTCTGCAAAGGTGAATTCCTTGCTTTGAGGAGTTTAATAGTACAAATGAACATTCGAGGAAACGCCCACATGAGCAAATAATGATTTTGAGGAAAAAAAAAAAAAAGAGTATTTTGTGGTTGTGCATACATCCTGCTTCAAGATACGTTATGCAATATACCGAAAAGCCTGCCCTTGTTTTTTGTTCTTATCCCACTGATGTTTCTTAATATGTGCTTTTAGTGGAGGAAGACACAGAGGAGAGCTCAAGATCTGGTAGAGAATCTGTGTCCACAGCAAGTGACCAGCCATCCCACTCATTGGAGAGACAGATGAATGGAAGCCAAGATAAAGGTGACAGAAAAAAAGCTGGAAAGGAAAAGAAGAAAGATCGAGATAAAGAGAAGGACAAAATTAAGGCAAAGAAAGGAATGCTTAAAGGCTTAGGAGACATGTTCAGGTAGGTGCTTTGCAATCAAATGTAGAATGAATTATAAAAAGACGTTTCGTCTTTTAGTTATTAATGTATATTAAGACTGTTTGTTGAGGCCGTATTTTACTGTACAAATATATACCTGATGTATATAGGCTGATCTCGATTTTTGAGCCTGTGAGTGGTGTCATGAAAGAGAGGCAGCTCAGAATGGAAGAGGAGGAGGTGGCTGGCAGACTAAAGATGCTGCAAAACAAAAAATGGGTTTAAGCAACAAATTGTTTGGTCTTGGGAAGAGTCTTTGGTGATGTCTAAGTAGAGCACATAGCCTTTGACAGGTCAAACAATTTTGAGTTTTGTTTTTTTCTTAAGCTGTGCTGTTCCTAATACTCTACCCAAAGCGTATGTGTAACTAAACGAGTGTTTTTCTGTGCTTTACTGTTAAGACTGTTTGGTATCATGGAGGCATGATGTGAAAGACATGAATCAGTTTGAGACTGAAAAACAGCATGCTTCTCTCAAGGAAAACAGAATCTAAATAAGGTTGTGTGCTCTGAGAACCCACAGTGTGGAGAAAGGGTCAGTGAAAGATCTGATTTTTACCAAGAAGAGAGGTTTTTTTGAAAGGAGTTGTCTCTCCAGCAGACATAAGTGATCTGAAAGGAGCAGACTGCTGAGGGACACCCTGCTGTCCTGGGTAAATGGTGAAACATGACAAACACCTTTGATCACTTGTGGGAAGGGGTGAGAGCGCAAGAAAATCAGTCTTTCTTTTAGATAGCTAGAGTAAATAAATGTATTTCCAAGAAAAAAAACAATGTTAAGGCAGTGTTTGTTTTCTTTTGATGCAGTGATTCATTATCTGTTTTTGAAGTGAGATACCAGTATTATTTTTAAGATTTATAGACAGGGATTCTGCTCTGAAAACATGCAAGTGGAGCTTCAGTTAACTTTCATCCTGTTACCTTCTTTATCCTTTTAGTGAAATACTAATTGAACCTAGATTGTAACTTTGTAGGTTCCTGAGAGTTGTTCTGTGTCTGTGAATTGTATTACAAAATTAGTTAATAGAAAAACTATATGAGTTAATTAGGAAAAAACATAGTTAATTAGAAAATATTAGTTAGAGAATGTGTTTAGAAAACACAAAATAGTATCAGGTTGTTAGACAGCATATGCCACAGAACACCCGAAGAGTCATAGGAAATAGTCCCACACATCAGATCGGAGGAGAGCTCTTCAGCCCGGTCCCCTGTGAGTCCCACAGGGATGCCCTCATTTTCTGGGTGTTTGCCTGCCTAAATTCAAGCCTGGAGCAGAGCATTGCACACTGAGCTGGGGGAGGGTAGAAGGTTAGAAATGCCAAATGCTGACTGATTCTTTTCTGCAGTCTTTGCCGTTTTTATGCAGCAGAAACAGCAGGTAATATTGAGGCACATTATACATGATAAATTATATGGGCTCTAAGTATTTTATTGGATACCATGAGTGCTATCTCATGAGTTCAGTCAGAAAGTGTTTACAGCATCTCGAAAGCTTGAGCAGCTCCTTAGTTTCCTTCTGTGTAACTTTCCCAGTACAGAGGACCTGTGAGACAGCTGCTTCATTTTGCAAGCTTTGATACACAGGCAAAAGGGTGGACTTGCGGAGGGGCCCATCCAAAGAGAGGAGCCTTTGCATTCCAGAGAGCCGGCTCAGTGAAGTGTTTGCCCTCCAGCCTTAGAGCCTAATGTCTCGTGTTCCTGTGTGGCTTTGAATGCTCTAGATGGAAACGAGTATGAAAGTGGAAATTAATACCATTTTAATCAAGTGCTCCCAGATAAATAGGAAGTAACCTTGTCCTCATGCTCAGTATAAAAGTTCTGAAATCTTTTAATCTGGAAACAGCAGTAATTTGACTGATAGGAAGATCTGATCGTTGCTTTATTGTTTGCTCTTCATAACAGTCAACGTTTCCTTGCGTCATTTTTTTCCCTCAGTACCGTTTCTGAGTGAACTTTACTTTTCAGTCTCCTCTTAATTAACGTAGGAGCAGTGCTATCTGGATGTGGTTGACTCCTCCTGGATCTGTAAATTAGCTTGCACCTTGTCAGCCCACCCAAGAGATGTGCTCCTGGCAAGCAGGAAAATGCTGATTGAGGGAATTAAGCATTATGCCTCATTTCCACTCGGTGCTTGATTTGCTTTGTTGACAGGCTTCTCAATAATGTTTGAGAGATGGGCTTTATTATGTCTGCAATATAAGCTACTACTTCTGCCCTATAACATGCTTTGTTTTTCTGCACATCTGACATATATCATAGGTATCGAGTAATCACTGAAAGAAGTTGTGTGATAGAAAATAATGACAGTAACATTTAAAATTCACGCCATGATCAAAGCATAATTGGATGTTTTGGTTCTGTGCAGTACTGTGATTTTGCAGTTCTTTTTCTTTTTTCCTTTTCCACTTTTTTCCTTTTCCACTTTTTTCCTTCCTTTTCAGTGCTCTTATCTTAGAATAATCTTTCTTCATTAGGTTGTATGGGCAAGAACACTGGCGGGATGAAATTACTGTTAACTGACACTTTATTCCAATGTCTGTATTTAGCCAAGGGGCTTTTTATTGCCTGCATGCAAACTGGCAGCTCATAAAGTGGAGTCTATGTGATGTATAAAAATAAGTCTCCTTGCCTTCAGTTAAAATCTTAGGATTTGCTACTGGGATATTCATTAAACTGTACTGCAAGATGGAGCTGAGTGTGAGACGGAAACTCCCACTAGAGAACCCTAGGTTACGTTTATCCTTCAGCATCTAGTCATCATTTCCAATAAATCCCTGGATGATTCAGAGAGCAGGTTAAAATCATAAGTAATTCTTTTAAACACTTCCATTGTTTTACTGCTTGTATCAAATATAGTGAAGAGGATTGACATAACCGTGAAGGAGATCTATAATACACAGGGTGCAGACTGCTTGGCTCTGACACGCACAACTCCTGCTGTTTCCAGAGGACTTTTGCCGACATTGGGCTGTGGACAGTCTGAAAGTTCACCCTTCTTACTGTGAAATAAATCTGTCCGAGCATGTATATGTGTCTTTTTTCAAATTGGCATTTCGGGGCAGAATAGAATAATTTATTTAAATTTGTCATTTGGCTGAGAAGTCTCTTTCTCTTCACAGATGAATATAGGGCAGAAGTTAACCTGGAAACGTGTTGAACAAAAATATTGGTCCATTGAAGGAGATGCAGGTGCTGCAGAGCTTTGTTTACCTAAATAGTTGTATCGTTCCTGTCTGTCTTAACCCTTCAGTAGGATCATGTGCCATGTCCCATGGCTGTAATCACATACCAAATTTGAGGCTGTGCAGTTCCCTCTTCTCCATTGCTGGCATTTAGCGAGCGCTTGGATGGCCATTGCCAGCTGAGCATAGTTTTTGGGAAGCTGATAGGAAGTTCTGCTAGTTTTTTTGTTTCACTGCTAAGAAGGCTTGAGTAGATACATGTTTTCACATCAGAAGTTTATAAAAATCTGTATGCTTCTCCAAGTGCAATCTAAAACATGTTTACTCATTTTTGAGTCTGTTTTGTTTAAGTAGAGATTTTGCTTCTTGTTAAAAATGAACCTGACAAAAACAATCAGTTGATAGTAATTCATTGTAGTGCTGCCTTAAGAAAGAAGCTTCACAGTTTCAAACAATGCACCTGTTATTAGTGTTGGTAGGGATACATTAATTTGATGGGCTTCCGTGTCATGTGATTCTTTGACGTTTCTCTTCTGAGAAAGAAAAATTGTGTATGCCACCTTCTTTTCCCCTCCTCTTGCCCCTGTCACGTACAGGTTATTTTAATTTATGAAAGTGGATCTCCTCAGGATGTGAGATAGGGAGATTTGAGATTGTTCTTGTTTGTAGGTTTTGGATGATGATGAAATGACACATCTGCTGTGGTGCTGCTGCTGCTGATTTATGATCCCTGTACTTCATTCGTGCTTATTCCCAGTGTATGAGCTTGGATATAGTTTCTAGATAGGTGACTGGACTGGTGAAGTAATAGGCGACTGAAGTGGTAGCTCCACATCTTTCCCCAGCTTCCTCAAGCCGTATATATTTTTCCTCTATGGTCATCCTTGAACCACGGTTGTGTAAGACAGTGGCATCACTGTGATTATGTCACTTTTGGGGGGAATTAATTTTGTTTGCAAGAAAGTAGACAGCCACGCTCTTGCGGGGGAGTTTGCATGGGAGGACTCATTGGTGAGTTTTATGATAGAAAAAATATGTCCGGGAAGTGATCAGTCTCAGGAAAGGATGGGTCTAAGGAATAACATCTTTAGAAGAAAGTGAACTACCAAGATGCGGTGGGGAAAAAATTTGCTCTGCATTTCCAAAGGGAGGAAGAGGAGTAGTAGGGAGGCCAAGCTATCTAGTTATGTCTTGCTGGAAATATTGGAGGGACAGTCACTGTCTGATAATAAAAACCTGCTGAAACAAGTGGACCTTGATATGATCAGATAAAAATGGATTTGCAAATATAAATGGTATGTTTGACTTTATGTGGGGAGTTGAGAAGAACAAAAGATGGTGTGGAGGGGTATGCATATTGTGTCTTAACCTTGAGTTTAAGCCAGAAAATATAAGCCAAGAAAATTGGTTTTGGGAGTTGCTTATGAAATAGGTGTAATGTAATTTGAAGCAACCGTGGGTAACTATGTTATATGAAATAAATACATTTTCTGCCATAAGAATTAATACCTCAGTCCCATATAAACATAACTTTTCAATGGAGAATGTAAGCACTGTGTATTGAAGTTCATGGAACAAAACAGTATTCTTAAAATTAATCATGTGCATGAGTGTTTTTAGTACTCGAGGCTGTGTATTTCAAGATCTGGCCTGTAGTGTTGATGGAGATGTAAAGCTGTAATGTATGGTAACTGATCTTTAATTCTGCTCTCAACTATTGTTGTGTACAGGTGAGTAAATCAATGCACTGGGTAGCCAATGCAAATGTAATATTCCCAGATTACCATTATAATCTAATCCT